CCCCCCCCCCCCCCCCCCCCCCCCCCCCCCCCCCCCCCCACGCCCCCTCTATAGTCTGCCTTGCAACATATACAGAGATCATTAAGTCACGTCAAAACCCTTGAATCAGGAAATAGGCTAGTCTTCAGAACGACAAGTGTCTTGCTGGACTGTGCAACAACGTTTGCAGTATCATGGACTGTAAACACGCCGACCATAGATTCAGATACCCTTGATGCTGCATCACAGACAGGCAGGCTTCCAATGGTATGATCAGCGACGAACCTGGAGACAAAAACGGCGTCACGTTGTTTTTTCAGACGAATCCCAGTTCTGAATACAGCCTCATGATGGCTGCATCCGTACAGGGTGGCAGTGTTGCGATTTCTAAGCCTATAAGTCCTCGAACTGCTAGATTAGATTCCACTTTATGGAGCTGTTCAGGAGAATTTCTCTTGCTTATTTCTTTCTCCCTCGGTTGAATTCAGAAATGCGTTCTAATGACGAATGTATTCCTTGAGGAATACTGAAAGTTCTCATGTAAAACAAATGCACGAAAATGGAATTTTTGTACTTCAAAATGACTTATTGTTTTACTCTTTCATAGCACTTGTTTGTGATTCTACAGAAGCTCATGATGTGCGTCTGTGTTGAAATGTTAATTATTTGCATAAGTCGTTGTGCTTTAAATTTCAAACTTCTTATATGCTTTTTACTAGTGTTACGTTTTGGTGTTCCATCCTCCAGGACCACATGTGCATGATTATTTCATAAATGCCTTAAAGAGAGAGAGTTGGGCTTATTTCCGACTGACTAACCTGTATATTCAATCGCGATGTATAATTATTTCTTTGAAATTCAAATTTCTTATTTTTACATGCATTCTCTATCGGTTATACCCAATCTTTTCATCAAATTTTTCTCACTTTTTCATAGTGTGTTTTCTATGTTTGAAAATGTAAAATACAAATATGTAACTATACTATTAAGAATGTTGAGTTACAGACCTTTAGTAAAATTCTATATTCATCTTGCATTTGAGGTAAATGTATTTCAAACTATGTTTATAAAGTTATGACATTTAACTATATACATACTCATACAGTTCAAATAACGATCATACTTAAAAAAATCATAATAGTCAATAAATTCGAACGATTTTAATGTTATTTATAAAAGTATTTCTCTTGAAAAGGGGATTATAAAATGAATAATTAAATGTATTTTTATTCCTGTTATAAAACAATTTTTATTTTAAAGGGAAATTATATTATTTTTAATATAAAATAGTGTAATCTCTCTCTCTCTCCAAGGATAGAATCAAAAGCAAATAATTAGCACCCCGCATCACTACAGTTCGACTATTAAGACATCGTAAAATCATAAAAATTAATAACTATCAAGAATTATGTGAAATTAATGGCTATTTTGAGAATACCTGAAAAGCTGTACTATTCTAATCGAGATTTTTTACCATACTTATAATCTTTAAAAAATTCGTAGAATTTGAAAAAACAACACTGAACCTCTCATTTAAGCTTTTCCCCTTTTTAGTAAATATAATACATTTTGACAAATTGTTACCACTAATAACTTTGAATGGCTGGAAATAGTGATGTAGTAATGTACAAACATGTGAGTAAATTGATACAATTAATAAAACATTTAAGTTACTGCGATGAGAAATAGTTTTGGATCTATCCTGTAGATGGGACAATTTTGTTGAGTTCTATGAAAGCACTAGAGAAACACAAGACAGGCATCGTAATCTAATATTTGCGACTGACATAATTTTGAATCATATTTGTGATAGATACAGTAACTCAATTCCTACTATTATAGTTCACACTCTTCCTATACATATTTTACTTTTTTCAAATTTTCAATCATTAATAAAATACTTTTTATTCATCCACTCAAGTTCAAATGCATTTTTTTAAATTTGTAGTGGATGACACTTGATGTTAATACGGTTTTTCTAATATTTATTCATTAATTAAATTTAATTAATGAATAAATAGTAACAAACAAAACTAATAGTCCGACACCATATATAAAATGGAAAATCACTCATTGTGTCCCTTTAGCGCAATGGATAGCTTCGTTGGACTTCTAATCCAAAAGTCGTGGGTATGAATCCCATTTGGGATGGTTTAATTTCTGAGAATGTGACTTACTTTCTACTGTACTATTTTATTCAAATAATTAAATTTAATTAATGAATAAATAGTAACGAACAAAAATAATAGTTCAACATCATATATTGAAAGGAAAATGGTAAATTGCAAGGAAAATCACTTTCTGCCACTGAATATTGTGATTCTGTCATATGTATATACATATTTATTTTAATTTTAAATATTTTATAAAAAGTAACTCAAATAAAAATTTTCTTTGGTGATATAAGTAGGAATTGACCTTGAAAAGTTTGAAATATTAATTACTTGTTTTGAAACATATTTACGGCAGATACTCAAATTTGAGCCTTGGGCAGGGGCTCGGGGCGGCGCCGCGCCCCCCGAATACTTCAGCAGGTATCCTCATCTCATAGTTTTTATGCTACACTATGAAATGACATAAATATCAAGTTTCATGCAGCAGTCTCCTTTTCTTCGCTCGATGGGTCTTAAATAAAAACACGAATTACAAAAAGACGCTTTTTTGATGCATTTGTTGTGAAGGTTTTTTAGCTTTGTTACATTAATGCTGCGATAATTTGCTTATAAAATGTGAAACTCGGTAATTTTGGAATGTCTTAAAATAATTTAAGAGTACAAAACGTATCAACTGGTTTAGTTTTCGTGGACCTGACCGTTGCCTGGATCAGTGATGGACAAATTAAGGCCCTTAGTTCAGGTGCAGCCAGGCCGCAGTAGCCTAGTGGTCAAGGTATCGGATCATGGCTAGCATGTTATGAGTTCGAGCCCAGTACCACTAAAGACCCGCCGTGTAGGGTAAGGATGCACGTTAAATCTGTCGAGAGCTCAAACGTCCTTCCGTTGGTGTGCTGTGGTAGTTAGGAGAGGGGGTGCCAGCACAGGTGTCGTCCACGTCACTTGACCATGGTTCAAAATGACGAGGTCCGTCGCCAAAAGCCTTCCTGTATCTGAACAGTGCGACTTTAATATTCGCCAGTCAAGCAGTTTGCAGCGCCAGTCAAGAGTTTCTGTTGGGTTTGCCGTAGAGATACTGAAGCCCTTGTACAAGAATTTTCACAATTCAAATTTTTAAAAAAATCATTCAAAAGGGCATGTTCCCTTTTTTTGCACACGCTAAAATTTTCATAGAATTTTAAATATTCTCTGTGCATATGGAAAATACAAAGAATTTGTATAAAAATTAATTTAAAAACTTGTATGCGTACAGAAAAAGAAATCCACTCTAATAATATGCATAAAGTTGTTATAAACGTGTACCTTAATTTTTTTTATATTTAAATTTTAAAATAAACTCAGGAAATATATAAAATCACAACTTCCTTCATTGCTGTAGTATATTAAAAAAATTTCAAAATATATCATTTTTTTTCTTTTTAGTTTTTATTGCGTTTTATAATAAATGTTTTATTGCCCGCTAATGTTTTTACCCCATACCTAAAAAATTTCTCCATCATTGACTTAGATCTTGGATCATTAAATTGTTATCATACCTTTACACAGAACTGAAGAAACTCGTTGTTACTTGGGAATAATAAAATGCCATCGTTTTTCTATTAAATATCTTCCTGTTAAATGACGAAAGTTGTTTCTCAGTAAATACAAACACACCAAAGCATACCCAAGGACGCCAACTTGCTTTTAGAGTGATGTTCTGTTTTCTCCCGACCTAGGGAGGATCATACCCCAACCCCACCTCTTCCACTGCGGTCGTTAGATCGTGGCTTCTTTGTATTTTTTTTTTTTTTTTTTCCTCTCCTTTTTCTACTTCAGAATTAAAGAAGCTAAGGGTTGTTAGCTGGTTCTGGGACATAAATATAGCCATGCATGGTAATACAGTGAAAAAACTAGAACGCATAACATCAACATAAACAGCGCTTTCGCCATCTCACTTCGATTTTTAGAGGTTTTTAACACCCATTGTGAAGGTGAGTTTTTTCTAATTTGGAGTAAACTAAGCAAACTCAAACACTCTTCTAGAACATGAAAACAAAAGTGTTTGCCTGTACCGTAAAATCCGGCGTATAACGCGCACCTATACTTTCAAGCTGCAATTTTTAATTTTGAGGTTTATTCGCCGTATAACGCGCACTCTATCCTTTACGAAAGAACCTGCAACGTACGTTAGTATTGCTATTATGTTTTAAAGCTATTTGTTCGAGGTATTATCCAAGGACAGAAAAGATAGCATATTTTTTTAAAAATAACCCTTTAAGTTCATAATGTATGGTATTTCTTTTAAATAAACAGTATTCCGATCTTCGTAGAAGTCTAAGTTTTTTTTTTATCACATCTTTTTTTTATTTTTGAAGGTGTCATTTTTATACCCGGCGTATAATTTCGATCTTATTTTTTGTGTTAAAAGTGCGCGTTATACACCGGATTTTACGGTATGTGTTATTTTTTTCAACCGAAATTTCATCTTCACAAGACTCGTGGAAAATCATGTTCAAGTCCCGGCCCAGATAATCCCCGAAAACATCAGAAACCTTTGTATGGCATTTACAAAATTACAAGCGTTAAGATTACAGCTTATATATACATATCACTGGTAATGATGGAATATTCAAAAATTGCATAGTAAATGTTTTTATAATAAACAGCAAATAAAAAAATAAGGTAATTTTTAAAGAAAGCAAAAGTTGCTGAGATCTAGATCGCTTTAAAATATTTTTCTGTAAAATTGGTTACATTTTCTTAATTAATATTTGTATCGAACCCGAGCAGTTTCATTCAAATTTAAACATAGATGCACTACACAAATAATCGCGATCTTGAAAAATATTGCTTTTGTCAAAATGTAAAAAGTGTTTCAAAAATAGTTTCAATATTAGAAATATTATTCTTATGGCCATAATTTTATGCAGCTTGAGTTAAAGATGCCTTTTTTTCGAAGGTTGTACTTAATAATGTTTTAGAGAAAACGAAAAGGCTGAACGAATTAAAGTCTAATGAATTAAAAATTAATAACTACGTTGCATCGAAAAAATTAACCATTGGTGACAATTTAATCCCTGCCCTCACTTTAAAACTTATTTTTAAAGCTTGCTCTTAATTTTCTTAAAAGGATTAATTGTAATCGAAGAAATCAAGAACAATTATTATGTCACTGAACAAATTAATAGGATACAAAAATGCAGTGCGTTTCTACACAGGTGTGCAAAACTTAAGTATCCATGTAAATTTTAAGCAGATAGCCATAAAATTGCAGAAAAGGGGTTATTGCGACCAGTACAATGAACACGCAATTCAGTAAAAAGGTGATATGTATGCAACTGTCAGGAACAAAATGTCATAGTCAACGTGAGTGTACGCAAAACGCGTGAGGTTGGATCGTGCAGCTCAAGAGTACAATAAAAGGAAGAACGGAGGCGCAATTAAAGACATTCGCTGCAAATGCAGGGGAGTTCTTTCGTGAAATATGCCTAGAAGAAATCATCTGGATGACTTTACACATGGAAGAATGATCGGAAAGTTGAAAGAGGGGCGTGGTTTGACCACTGTAGCTGAAGAGTTCGGAATCAATAAAAATGTCATTTTTCGCGCTTGGAAAGTTTCCCAAACAATAGGTACAGCTGTTAGAAAGGTTGGTGGTGGCTTTCCTAGGAAAACAACTGCAGTGGATGACCAGTATATCGTCCTACAGGTGAAAAGAGCCCTATACAAGTCAGCAAGCGTCAGCGCTCAGCAAGTGTGTACAGAACAGGGCGACAAGGGTGGTCTATTGGTGCACCATCCTGAAAGCTGTATCCCGTTGAAAATTGGCCATCGGCCTCCCCGTTTAGAGGCATATAAGGAGCACAAAAACTAGATATCTCATCAATGGAGTCGTGTCCTCTTTACGGATGCGAGTCGTTTCAGTGCTATTAGAGATTCTCTACGCCAGTTGATTTGGAGAGAGGTCGGTCCTAATAAGAGGTTTCATCCAGTAACATCACTTAAAGAGACCGTTACGAAGATCCTGGAATTGTCATCTGGGAAGTCATTATATTGAACTGGCTGTCTGAGCACCACGTCTTCGACAGAAGTTCTACAACCGGAGATCGCTATTGTAAGGAGGTTGTCCTTCCCCACGTGCATCTGTTCCGAGGTCCTATTGGACAAGATTTCGTTTTTATGGATGATAATGCACGACCACACCGGACTTTTGATATTCAACAGCTACTGGAAAGTGAAGATATCACTCGAATGGAATGGCCAGCATTCTCCCTTGATTTAAATCCCATGTAGCATATGTTGGAGGTTTTGGGGAATACCCAGCAACTGAAACAGATGCTGATTGAAGAATGGGTACTCCTACCTCAAGAACTGTTGGATAATCTGGTGCTGAGTATGGAGAAACGGTGCGAAGCAACCATTGTAGTAAAATGAGAACATACCCATTTTAAGGAACATTTGCTTGTTGTTCTTCCTCTTAGACAGACAATCATGTGTAACGATACAATGAGTTCAACAAAGTCTTTTTTTTTGTTTGATTCCATACCATTTGCATTGTATTCATTTTGAGCAACTGTGCTTTCATCATCGTTAAAGTACAAAATGCTGTCTCTCATTCTGAATTTCATGTCTCTCAGATGATTTCTCGTGGAGTTATCAAAAAAAAAAAAAAAACACCCTGTTGCCTAAGTTTTGCACACCAGTGTAGTAATGAAACTCGGAAGAATTACTATATAAGCGTTTTGATTCATTCGATAAAATTCATAATGTGTACCACCAATTACATCATAAAAGCTTTTGGGAAGCTTATATCATACCACGTTAAGTTAATTAGGGAGTTGCTGAATCTATAATAAATCCAAATAAATCGGGTACACTGATTTCAAAAATTCTATCTATTTTTTTGAATCGCATTCTTTTTTTTTTCTTTTTTTTTTCAAAATAATCGGAAATGCATGTTTTTTTGTTTGTTTGTTTTGTTCAGTAACTTTGAAATGTGAAACGGTACATCATCTATAATTACTAATATTTAATACTAATTGTTAAGTAAGATGAAAA